TGTGTTTGTTTTTCGCCCCCCGCCTTGCTGCACCCCCTGGGGTGTGGTGCAGGGCGGGGGATGCCTGGTCGGCGGGAACCCGGCACGGAACCCTTCGGCGTTGTAGGCGGGTGTGGGAAGCGTTCCCCGTTCTCCTTTTATTTTATTTTGATCGGTCTCCTCGACGCTCTTTCTCGTTTGGTGCGGTAGCTGGTCTTTCTATCATTTTGTTTCTCTTCCGAGTGGTTTTTGTACCCTATTATTTTCTGTTTCTTTGTGGGGTCGTGTATGCCGGGTTTTGAGACCACGGGCTCCCAATCTTTCTTTTTTAGAGCTAATGTGAGAAACAACAACAACAACAAACAACAACATTGCGCGCAGAGGGAGCGAAGGACTCCAGAATATGTGTTGTTGATTTCTGCGATGTGTTGACCTGCAAATCCCTCGGGGCCAGTTCATTTGAGTGTACCTTTTTATGGAGCCTGTGACCACGGGAATCGACCGCGTCAAATGTTTGATTGATACGGACCTACGGTCCATGACTTACAATTTAAGGTCATGGACCATAGATACGGACAAATGAAGGTACTGGATAGAGAGATCGGAACGGTTTTGAGTGTATGTGAAGCAACAACAACAACAACAACAACAACAACAACAACACAGCAGGAGGTAGGTGTTACTTCCCCCCATTCGATGGCGAATGAATGTGCCTGCTGTCCCAAACAGAAAGGAGCGAAGCGTGTAGACACAATCATTTGAACGGGCCTTTGCCAAGTTGGAACGACATCATACGCCATGATGCAGCCGTGAATATTGTACATTTATTTACTACACGGTACGAGCTAGCGCCGGCGGAGATCAGTTCGGGGCGACGAGCATATTCATGCATCAGACTACTGCTGTAGAGTGTGTGTGCCATGTACTGTACCTCGCCGCCACCGTTTTCTCGGTTTTTGTGTTTGTTTAGAGTTGAGTCCACCGTTGGGGCTGTGCTCTGTGCCCTATTCTTCGCGACTTTTCTTCGCGGTTGTCTTGGCAGAATTTCGCGTGCTGTAAATGCAGGGTCGCGGCACGGACGCCTTCTGTATGTAGCATTTTTCTGATACCAACTTCTCATCAAATACTACCAACGCCTGCGATCGGTGTCCATTCAAAGTGAGCATCTAGTCTGCTGTAGAGTAGTGCCGAACTTGCATTTTTTTCACCGTAGAACTAGGAAGGGGCCCGCCCCCCCGCCTTTTTTATTACTCAACCCAACTCGCCGAAAATAACCACTTGATTGACTGAATCACAAGCAAGCACGTACATCAATACATCGTGCTTTCCACAAAGACATACTTCAAGTACAAAGTAGGGGCTGCTTTTGTGCAACATTAACCACGGTCGGGGGGCGCCTCCTCATTCGTACGGAGCAAAACCAACCCACCTATTGTACCTATACCCGTGCTGGTTGTTTGCAGGTGGTGGCATCTGCGTTCACGGCGTGAAAAATGCGCTGCTACTCTGTGTGCTCCCCCAGAGCATGGAGCACGAACAACGGTTGGTTGTCCACTCTACATTCATTTTCATAATCGAGTTTCCGCTGATCAGCGTGCCGGGCTTCCATATCGAACGAGTACAAGGCTGCAGCGTCGTACAACCTGCATCGTCACCTTCTGACGGACAACGACTACCTTTGTGAATCGTGCCGTCGTCTTGATGTTTGACGACTGGGGAGCATCGCACAAACAGCATAGCGACATACAACGGTTCAACTTTGTCAACTTCGCACATCAAGAACGGCACAAAAATTATGAACGGTTTCTGTCAGGGCGCACTGAGCACGATGAGGGTCATATACTCTTGTGGCTACAAATCACCACCACCTACTCACCCCGCTCAGACGCCTCGCCGCGATAAATAGTAGGCGGACAACCGTCCGGCATCGTCACGGACGGTTGGTACTGGGAGTGCTATGCGGGTCTCACAGCCCTGATATGAGGATGGTGCAAATACAAACACCCCTGAGCATAATCAGATACACGATAAGCTCGACCGTCGACGCGAGGCACACCACCGGGGTCTGAAATGCCGAAAAAGATGAACCCAGGGTGTGCCTTCAAGGCTCGGGCGGTGAAACACCATGTACCACAGACAATGAGGAAACTAAATGGTCCTGATGGTCGGTCTCTTCGACACGGCAGTTCGGTCTCTTCGGTCCTGTGGTCTTCCCCCTGTAAGGCCCAAAGGGAGAGTAGAGTACAAGTAGTCCTCTCAGCAGACGGACTACGGGATAGTGCATGAAGGCCCATACCCAAGAACTTAGTCTAGAGGCTCGATTTTTTTTAGTATTCGCACAGAACGCGAACTATCGGTTGACTCCCTGTTGACAAACTCTTGGACAAAATTTGCCACAATGAATCTTTGCGTACAACAAGGGATTGACTACACTAAAGATTCCATCGACCGCCCCACCGTGTGCCATTCGACCCTCCCTAGGTACCGATTTGCCTTTAGTAGTTTTCTACTTGTGCGGTGGCTTGCACCGAGAACGCGCAACCAATCAACGGCACCAGCATCTCTTCCAAAGCCGCTAGCCTAAACTAATAACCATGCTTCTTCCCGCCCCAAGAACAGGCCGCACTATATCAAACACCCATCTCCCCCCACATCATCCCTTGGTGCTATTCCATGCATCCCAGGCCTTGCAGCGTTTCCCTCCCTCACAAATTCCCCGCAGGTTCGTAAATCAGAGTAGTTTTTCTGTTTGGTCGGAAACGGCTGCGTGCGGGCCATGGTCTCGACATGGCATATTCCATGGAAGACAAGCACAAGAGCCCCATCAGGGGGAAGCACCCGGTGTAGGGAGGGTATCCCCAAGTTTGAAAGCCCATCGTCTTATTGGCAGGTAGAACTTGTGCAACGCCGTGGATGAAGCCGGGGAAGTCGTTTGACATAGAAATGACTGTTCGGGAGTTACACACGGCCTCACACCATGTACGCAAAACGACAACCAGTGCATCAAAGTGGTCGAGGTCATTGTGGGTCGTTTCTACGTCCGCCGCCTCTGTTGCCCAGCACCGCCTCCGCCTGTAGGACTTTTGCTGGTGCTGGTGCTGGTGCTGGTGGTGCCGCCACCGCCGCCGCCATTTTTTTGAGCTTTCGATCCCCCATCGTCAGACGAATACCTTTCGTCCTCTACGGGGTGACTGTAGCGATCCTCAAAATTATTGTCGAAATGGCTGCGGCCGCCGCTAGCCCTGCTACCAGTGTTCGTGTTTCCGGCGGCGCCGTCCTCTTCGTCCTCCTCTACGTCTTCCTCGCCGGGATCATTGTCTCCGTCTTCGCTGGAAGAACCGTCAGCTCCGTCGTCGTAGCTGTCGGTCACAACACCTGCATGCAGTTGCAACACAGCAGTCACGGCTATAAGTGGACAGCACTTTGTGAGACGCCGATTGTATGTAGAAGGTCGTCGTCAATGCCGGAGACGACGAGGCACTTCCAAGAGTACGTTAGCCCGTGCTCGTTTCCCGTGAACTTCTTCCATGGGTCACGAGTAACCCGGTGGATGGGGGGCACGATGACTATAATCCTCATCATCAGTTCTTCGACATTTTCTTCATTGTTGCAGTCGATTTTCGAAGTATTGGAGTGGAAGGGAATAAATAGTTCCCTTATCGCTTCTTCCCCCCCACCTATCTTTGCGAGCTTCTCCTTTTCGTCGAGGGTGATGTTCGCCAGTGACAAACTGTCCCTTCGGTGCACGTAGCGGTTCTTGTACCGGACAGAACGATTGATGACCTGTTCGGGTGGCACGTGGACCAAGCAAGCAGGAAGTGAGCGATGTTGGTGTTCCACCGCACGGTTCATGAACGATGCTTTTTTTAATTTTTCCCGTTGTCGTTCGTGCATCAAGAAATAGCATGTCGTGTGCTTCACGTGTTTGACGGACTGTGATACCACGAGAGATTCGTACGCCAACACACTAAATCTGTTCGACACCGTCTCTACTTGCGTGCGACACAGATATAGGCACGGCAAGCTACGAGAAGACGACATCCGCACCACGGTCTCTCCTTCCGGAGCTGGCTTCATGTCTTCCAGGACAACCACGACATGCACCAGGTCTTAACAGGTAGTAGCACTCTTCGGTGTGTTCCGAATCTATGCTTCCGTGGGCGACATTATTGCCGAACGTGGACGAGTATTTCAGTACTGCTTGGCATTATCCCTCGTGATTGTGCGCAACAAAATCGGATGGCGTCTGACCGTAGCTCGAAACCCGTGGAAACATTTGCTGTGTTCTTCAGTTGAACCAGAGTTTCGTCTGCTTCCATCCTTCGTTGCAGAAAAGCTCATAAGGTTTCCGAGTACGTAGGTTTCTGCTCCCCGGCATCCGTTGTGCCGGCTTCGAGAAGCAACAGCTGCGCTCCCCTTCTCCTCACGCAAGACTTCCGAACAATTTATTCTTCAAACCCACTAGCGACGGTATTGGGGTGACACATGTCGCATGTAGTATCGATCAGGACCTTTCATTATTACAATGTGCAACGACATTTCTGGTGTGCGCTCTAGCCTTAACAAGCGAGGCAGCAGCAGGTTGAGACAGCAGACAGCACGAAAAATTCTTGAAAACTGGGCTTCCCCTACAGAGATACAAACACTAGCCTTCGCAGGTTTTTGTATTATGCGAACGTGTTGGATTTATCATGCAATCGGGGACGTAGGGTTAGGGTTAGGGCTAGGGAATACGGTCTGCGTCCCCCTTCCCTGTTCTATCATCTCATAACCTTATTAATCGTGCGAAGGTGGTCCCATTGACAGCAGCACCGAACCTACCTGTAGCTTGTCGTGGCTTACGAGGATGCAGCCACACATGGCTCCCCTTCCCTGCCCGTGATCCTTGGACGTGGAGAACACCGTGAACACCTTGGCCCCCTTGCTCAAGGAAACTCCCTCCGAGTGAGCCTCGTGGGCCCTCACGATGTAACTCAGGTCTCCCTGTGCCAAGAAGTAATCGATCGCCTTAGCGCCGAAGCAGATAGCCCCCCCCCCCCTCAAGCTCTCCCCGAACCCCGACGGCCCGATTGCGTCCTCCTGGAGATGATCGCAACGATAAGATACATTTCGTGCGTATGTACGAAGTTTTTTTGCTCGGAACTGTAGACGATGATGAAAGGTACGCCAACAAATGAGGGACGGGATGTCGGCTTCCAAAAGAACCCAGTGGAGAATGTGTGAATCAACACGTTGCCAAACAACGCTCTCGGTATTCTTGTCTCGAGGAATGCCGGTGATCGAAGAAACGAACGTGTCGGACATATTCGCCGCAGCACCCCGCACTCCGAATCCATTCTGTCTGAGATTGTCTTCTGGAGACGATAGGTTCATGCATGGCACAGGCAGCCGTGACGTCTCCATACGTGTTAGTGAATGGGCGACGCAATATTGTTGATGTTCAGGCGTCGTGACCAACCAGGGCGAGAAAGTGTTTATCCCTTCCCCGGGCTAGCGTCAACAGGCTGAATCCGAGGATACCCTTCCCGGCGAACGAGCGTGCAGGTAAAAGGCTTATACAAGGTGATGTTTCCAAATCATTGCTTTGCATCCTTTTGGTGTGTGGGTGTGGCTTTACCCTGGAAACCACGTGCTAGTTTGCACCGCAGGGGTTGCTAGCAGGGGGGGGGGGGCTACGTTCATCCAAGCGTTTTTAAGCATTGAAGCAACGCGACGGAGGCTTCTTCGTTGCGATGAACACGTCCCGATCCCATCTCAAATCTGTTCGTGCTCGCTCTCACTGGCTCATGTTGTCGGGAAAAGAAACAACACAATGTCACATGCTCCCCAAGTGCAAGTACGGTAGTGCGCCTCGCACGACCACGTCTGTCCGTCCCAAGACGACCAGGGCGGATTTTCATGTAGATAAGGACCTTTCAAGCCAAGCAGTGACAAGCTTATCTTTGACCATGCCCAAGTGGAAACCCGTCCTTTGGCTCAAAGAATAGGGAGGAAGGGGTATTGGATAAACCTCATAACGAATAGAAAGTCAACGCGACCACAGCAACGCCAACGCTCGGCCTTGGTTCCACACTATGAACTCAAGACAACGCTGATTGTTGGGTTCCTGTGTGTGTGCCAGTACCTTCTGTGAGACGCGTGTCACAGCGAGAAGCAATAAGTCAAGCCTGAGGAATATCTTCTCGACACACGAACGGCATTCAACGGTTGAGGAAGGCATTTAACATAGGTCTCGCCTGGTCCCCTTTGGCTGGGTCGGACCAGAGGCAGTCTGAGGCAACCTGCTGCGACTCAAACGTCTCGAGGTCGTTGGGCGGGCACACTCCCGCCACCTGGGGGACTGACATTATGTCCTGCGGACACCAGAGCGATGTTTTTGACGGTGGTGGGCAAGACTTGCTAAGTTTGCCGTCAGAGAGTGATCACAGGTTACCGGGTGAAGGGTAGCCTACAGCAGTGTCACAGAAATTAAGCGATACTTTTGGAGAAGGAGAGGAGTCGAGGTGCCAGGGAATGGCCTGCGAGGAATACGCGGCAGCGCATGTGAGGGGGTTGTGAGCCGATGTCTAGCACGGATGATTTCGGGTTTACGCCGTTCTCCCCGAATCACAGGGGCCATTGGGGGGGGTCGATGAGCTTTTCCAGGTGCGCAATGGCATAGACCGAAAAAATGACACCATCTTAACCTATTCTAGACGCTCTTTTCGAGCACGTGCGATGTGGCGCCCAGCTTTTTTCACGAGCGGGCTCACTCCTGTGTGCGGCTGGCCAGCCAAGCGGTAAGCAATATACATCCCCGATACAGGTAGCACAAGTGTTTATCAGCGAACGTGATCAATCTCCTGTGCCGTTCAACGTCGGGGAGACTGCAAATACCTACCTTGTTCGGCTTGTCGCCGACCGTTCCCCGAGCCTGCGGTGGTAACGCCTCGAATCACCAGGTTGTTACATTGTTGTGTGTATCACGGCTCTATTTCTTTCCAGCGTGCATTCTATTGCGGATGCCTACCCCTGCAAGTCATGCTGCTTAGAGGGATTTGTTAAGCCAGGCCGAAGGCTGGAGGGTGTGGTTGCCCATTTTCGCATTCAGTAGCAGCAAAAGTGCTTGGCCGCCGACAAATCTCCCGGGTTGGACTTATATCGGTCATGTCGATGATGTTAAACCTCGCGGGCCTACACAATGCACGATTGCCTCTGACGCCATCCACCAACCTGAATGCGGGAGGAAGAGCCATCCAGCGGGCGGGGTATCCCTCCGTGGACGCAGAATATGTCCCGGTCGATCACCGCGGCGAGGGGCATGCGGTCAAAGACCGCGTTGCACGCTTCCCAAACATCTTCCCCGAGCGAGTCTCCGAATCGGTTCTGGAAAGGAAAGAACAACAGGTCGGAGAGTTTTCGTTTTTTTCCGCCAGAATTGAAACTTTGTGTTCCGCATAATTGGTGCGGGAAGTCAGTGTTTCATCTCGAGACGGTGGAGAGGCTCACAACGCCGGAAGCTGAGGACCCTGGCAGGCGATGTCATTGGGTCATGGCTATCTTGCGAGCTACGGGTGCATGCAAGCCTTGAGCATTCCGCGTTGGTTCCTTAAAGGATCGGCTTCAGCTCGCCCAATCATCCTGTAATCCTATCCCGCTGTGGCCACAGAGTCGAGCCCAAAAAATACCACGAGCTCGGAGAGAAAAGGTAGAAGTGCGACAACAACAACAGCAACGGAAACAGCAGGATTGGATGCTCACCTGGCACTGCCAGAGGAACGACTTCTCCCGGTAGTACTCCACCCAGCCGTTCACATCTCGCAGCTCGTGGTTGCCGCGAAGCATGAAAAGTTTGTCCGGGTTCTCAAGCTAAAGCCACGTGCAGAGAATTGACGTTTTTGCGACAGAAGGCAATATGGCGGGTGCGTGCTGCCGTTATATTTCGAGTCGTTGGGTGGAACAATCGGCGGAAGAGAGAGCTGCTCCTCCTACCGAAAGTACAACGAGGAATACCGCGTGCTTCCGAATCGTCGCGGCTTTCCCCGGCGCCAGAACGGTTGCTCGGCCTCCCCTCTCCCCCCTGGCGCTACGGATACGGCATGCTTTGTACTTTTTCCCCATCATATCGAGTGCTATTCATAGCCGACCGGAGCAAGGTAAGGCAGTTTCGTTTGCTTAGCCTTTTCACAGACATACTCCAAGCTGCACCGCCCTTCCACGCCCGATATACCCCCATCACAGAACGTTTGTAGCCCGGCCCTACTCCGATAATACCCTTCCATTGTTACTACAAGCGCCATCATCCAAGCATTACAATATTCAAGCCCTAGTGGGTGAGGATTGTAAAGCACAAGGCGTACGAATGTCAACCCCACTGTAGACAAGAATGGGTTCGAGGTCGATACCATCCATTTACCCACCTTGAGAGAAAACAGGTAGGCCAAGCATTCCAGTCCGAGGAGCCCCCTGTCGACGTAGTCCCCGAGAAATAAAAACTTGCCGGCGGTGAGGTTCATCCCCAGCTTCCATATATTATCCGCGAAGAAGTGCAAGTCCTGCGCGAGCAACAAAGGGTACATGATGCTTGTACTCTTGATACTATT